ACTTAAAGATCATGTTTTCTTTGTTGGAAGTTCACAATCCATCTCAAAGTAACAACACTGAGAACACAGCGTTCTGGCGTTCGTTTAGGCACCTCACGGTGTTGAGGGACGGTGGTTTAGGTTTGTGTGGCGAACGACAATCACGCAACGACCGACGCTCACAACTTGGATCCTACCATTAACAAAAAGCAATATTATAGTTATATAACTTTTCAGATGTTTTTAATTCAGTATTTTTTTCAATATTCTTCCAAAATGCAACCACTATATTTCCCTAAAAATCAAATAATACCGATTTTATGTATTTCCGTATTAAACCTGTAGTCAATTCATGTTCCAGGGCCACTTGGTTTAGCCGTGCATTACCAGCCAATATACCATGGATTGCATAATTATGCAAATTTTGTGTTTGGACCAATCAAATCAATGGTTTAACACCATCAATATACTGGTATAATATAATATGTATTATATGGTTATATGCATATAGTAAAGCATATTACCAGGTTAGTATGACGTAATAAAATACTACAAGGTTATTACCAGAATACTTCAAAATATGCACAGTATGGAAATTGCATCTTCATCAAGTGTTAACTTTATAATCATACATGTATATATTTTGCTGTATGTAGCAAGAAATTATGAACAGACAACTTGAATGGCGAAAAAATATTGATTCTTAACATTAAAATGGCCACCATTCGGTCATTTTGAATTGAATGATGAAATTGAATCATAATGTATGTGTTAAGTTTGCACATATCAGTCCGAGCATGTCTGACATACAGGTGCAAAAAGACACAAAGATAGATGCAAATAGGGGATACTGCAAATCCTCAATTTTGGATTTTTTGACACGAACAGGAATGATTAGTAGTAAAGTGACAAACTCTCAATTGGTAAATATATGATGGTTTGTCAGGTAGGTAAGTTCACAATTCAACTGTTTAGAAGTTATTAATATGAATACCATAAAAACATACCTCCAAGTTTCCTGCTATTATACCTGAAGAATAATAACATTTCAAACCAGTAGCAGCTTTTGTGTTCAGATCGTAGTCTAGAAATATGATCATCTGTCACTGCAAGGCTGTGTAAACAAAAACAACTATTCAATTGTAGCGAAATCATAATCAGTTTTATGTTTAACTAAAATTCAGTGTGCACAGACTGCATTAAGTATCACTACATGTATTAGAACAAGTTTTCAAAAATGTCATTATGTGATCACAATCTTATTCCCCATATTATTAAAAAAAAACACCAAAACTGGATACATAAGTTTAAATATGAACTGACCAAAAATAGTTACCAGTACGATATATAGACGAATATTGTAAATGCATTAATTATTCATTGGGTTTTAATTTCCTCGATAAGTAAAATCCGGTAAATTAAATATATGTGAACATGTAAAACAACAATAAAAGTCATTGTTTCCTTAACTAATTTGTGAAATTAAAACACAGTGAATATGCTCAAAACATCAAAATAGTGAAAATAAATGTCAGTATAATTTGGCTGCAACATTCTGCACATTTTTAAAGCGGGGGAGTCGTCACCTGCGCATGCATCAGATGGCCATAGCTTTGCACTGTTTACAAACAAGCGTCTACCCATGTGCCTTTGCGTTTTTAGCGTGTATTGTTATCGTCTCTTGGGACTAAATTCCCAGCACGCACAGGTGATGACCCCCATTTTCGATCAAATGCACTTAATTTCCCATTATTTACAGGTAATGTGAAAAAAATAAAGAAAAAAGTAATGCAGGTATATTTTTTCGAAGATGACAAAAGTTGACTGTGGTGGTTGAAGTGTTTAATTTGAAAGGTAATACCAACCCATAGAAGTCCATGTAGTAGTGAAGAACATTAGGTAAACTATGCTGAATGCAGTATAGTATAAACTGACTGTGAAACATCTCAACATTCATCGTAGTATTATTAGACAGGATATGTGGATGACGCAATAATTGATGACAATTACCAAGCCGACGTAATAATCTGTCAAAATCGGATAATTCTTCTGAAGCAAACAAACCTTTTCTGAAAGAAAAAAAGAAATTATGCTATTATATTTTGATTGGATACTGATTACACAAACTTCACATTACAGTAAAAAATAATATCACAAAAAATATGCTTTGATCGCCCTGATGTTGTGTAGAATAGAAATCATGCTGTGTATCTTGTGACTGACACACCACCATTTTCAAGAGCAACACACGTAAAGTATGAATACCGCAGTACGAGTAAAATTACTTTTATCTTATTTGCATATTAGCGATAGATAATAACAATGTAAACTCCCTAGCGCAAAGTGAACATGTTAACCTACTATACCATCGCCTAGCAACAGCTTTATAACATTTACAAGGTACACATTCAAATAATTTGTGCGATTGGCTTTAAGTCCACATATACGGTGAAAAGAGGGGAGTGAACATAAGGCAAGATGGCGCTGACCTCTTGATCTTGGTCACATGTTACGTGATGTGAATGAAAATCTAAGAGATTGTGGGGCTTCCCCTGGTCTAGATTTCTCTCTCATTGGCTTAATTGTAGATTAATGCCTACAGTTCAAAATAGTCATTTTGAGTGAGAGGAGTCTATGGTGGGTGATTGAACGTAGTGAATTCTAAATTTCTTGAATCAACATCTGTGTTCTATGCAAACCCTGGTGTGAAATAAACTTTACATGTACACAGGTAAATTTAATAATGTCAGTTTATTTACCTTGCCATTTCATCTAGTACTTTATTCTTAATATACGGAGTACAGAGTGTCATATCATTCAGCATATCAGCACAAATGCTATCCGGATCAGCAGTAATCCATTTTGATATAGGATTCCACAAATTGTGAGATAAATAATATTTCCATCTGGTACGGGGCTCAATAAATCCTTCAAATGATCGATCTGACGATAATGAATAATATATTATCATTTCATACACCATTAATACATTTTACTTATTGAAAGATTGTAACAATGAGCTATTCCATAGAGTGACATGTGGTAACATCTGATCATGCAAGTAATGTACATTTTGTATCTAAAAGATTTGGAGATGTGTGGGTTGGTTTGAGTCACAAATTGTACTTAATAATCACTTTGAATAACACATCTGACAATAAGATGACAATGCTGGTATAAGGGTTAAAGTTGACAATGCTGGTGGTGAAGGTTTAAGGGTTAAGGGTTAAAGTTGACAATGGTGGTGGTGGTGAAGGTTTAAGGGTTAAGGGTTAAAGTTGACAATGGTGGTGGTGAAGGTTTAAGGGTTAAAGTTGACAATGGTGTTGGTGAAGGTTTAAGGGTTAAAGTGACA